TAAACGATCAAATGCTGAATTAGGAGAAAGTTATCTCTGCATTTTTTGCAAGAATCCAAACTCTAAAGCTATTCCTCGGTATATTTTACTTTATTATATATATATAGTTGTCTTCATCATTTGTAAGTATATAAACCAAATATATTTTTTGGTGAAGCAGCGGAGAAGCTCTTATTTATAAGTGCACAATCTTTGCTGGAACAAACAGATTCTGTAAGAATTTTAATTTAACTTCAACATTTTGCATCCTAAAATATGTTGCTAAAACATGTTGCTTGAGCAATATTAATTGATGAACCAACATTAATATACAGGGTTCACAAAAAGCATACTTTGAAGATGTCGTCAAGAAAATGCAAAATACTTAACGAGCATTCTACCTGAAAGCAATCCAAACTGAGTCTAATTCATCAAACTATAGATTTGACATTATCTCTGTCACGGATCTAGACCAATCAAGCCCAAGAGGAAAAAACCAAGCAAATGTTGATGTTAAATCACGCGGGAAAGATATCTACATATACTCTTTAGATTCTGAAGAGAATTTGTCGCCTCCAGCGAGGAGAGCGCTCTTCAAATCATCAAATAAAGGGAGTGTTCCATATGATGAAAGCAGCAGTTTGAATGTGTCATGCACAAATCTTTTGGTTCCAAAACAAAAGATAGATTAAAAAAACTATGATTGAAGTGTTTATTTTGCTATTTCTGATTGGTATTAGTCTTAGCTTCTCTTTTCCTGAATAGTAATTTTGTTTTGAAAGTGTCAAGCATGTTGTTGTTGACAAATGATGTCTGTAAACTGATACTTACATCATTTCATATGGTTGGATAGCAAGTATTTTGGTTAATGAAAAATATCAACAACATTAATCGAGACATTTGTATTTTGTCGAATTATTCTTCACTTTTGTTTTCTTCATTAGTATAATTTTATTTGAAAATTGCCAATCACATTCTTATTGACAAATGATGTATGTAGGCTAACACTTACATCATTTATGCTTAAACTCTATTGTATGGTTGGATAGCAAAATATGTAACTTCACAAATGTGAACGGCTTATAAAGCATTTCTATTTTCCGTCTTTCATTTACTTTCGATTACTCCTGAATTCCAAAAAATTTCAAAGACTAAGGTATAAAATTTTCAATTTTCCTATCAACAAGAATAAGAGTTTAATCGACTAAATATATATCTACACCCACAAAATATTAATCAACGAACATAATTTCTCACCATATAATTATATTCCCATTATTCTTTCTTTTTATATTATACCATTATATATGTATATGAATTAAAAAACAAGAAGAAAAAATAATTTCAAATTGATAAAAAACTTACTTATTATATAGCAATCCTTTTCAACATTGAGGATGTATATCACAATTATAATTACAATCACGAATTTAAAAAATATTCATTGTAACAAATGTCAGTCACAATTTTCCGTCTATATATCCTCATTCTCTTCAAATCAACTGTCTCTAATGGATATTTTAGAAGAAAACATTCTATATATTTGAGAAGAAAAAGTCTACAGTTTGGCCTATATACAAAATTTTTTTGTTAGACTAAAGTAATAATGAATATAAAAATCAAAATTAAAAGAAAAATTCAATATAGTACTAAATAATAAACAATTTAAATGCCTTAAATACTTACCCATTCTTTGCGTAAGGCAAATTAGATATAATCTCCAATTTAAGCTTCTTGTTTCGGTGCTTCCTTAAATTATATCTGTTTGAACAAAATTCAGAAGTTGTCAATAATATTTGAAGTATTTTATATACTGTATGTACTTGTTTCCTGATTTCTATTGGTGTGTGGACGTCATTATTGTAATCATATATCTGAAATTTTCACTGACGAAAATCAACAACAAGAAGATAACAATTATAATCGCCTGGATACAAACATGGAATTAATAAATAATTATATGCTATCCATGGACGATCATACTCTGGTAGATTGCCACTTATGTAATTTTTTAATACAGTCAAGTCCATCTGACGATCATCTGCACTAGAGCTTCTTTTTTTTTTTTAAGTTGTTTGCCATATCAATTGGTGATTGCATTCAGCTTCAAAATTGAAGTTCAAAATTACATGTTGTTTAGAGAGGAGAGTAGACCCTTCTTTAATCAATTTCCTCAATAACTTCAACTCTATCTCTATAGTCTAATACAATAAGTAGATATAAATTATATGTCAAATGTAAATTGAAATTAATTATAATTTGTGACATTCACTAACCGCAATACTAATATCTTTGTCTTCAAGTATATTGTATAGTGTGTCTCTTCCATACATATAGCCTCCAACATCCCAATATGTACTGTAGATAATAGTTTATATCAGTGTGAAATAAGTACAACATAACTAATAAATTAGAGTTAGGCTTTTTACCCCGATGTATTCATCACCATTTATTGATGAACTGATAAATACCTCTCCATAGAATAGTATTCGAGAGGAAAACCTGAAGATTTTATCTTCCTACTATACATATCTTCCGTGGACATTTCAGTTTGAGGAGTTTGTTCAGATGTTACTTTCTTGCCACGAATTTGACTGCTCGAGCCGGAATATCTTTCTGTAAACAACCAACAATAACTTCCATATCACACATTCTATTCAGCATGTTGTTGTTCCGTTATTCAAAGTAAGATGTCATCGAAGTTAAACTATTGTCCACATAAGATTGCATGTGAGATTGCATTTCCTGATGGTGATTTTCTTGCCATTTTTGTTGTTGGTGAAAAAATTCTTTTTGATTATCAACAATTGCTTGATAATTACTTTCTTGTCTTCTTGATTGTTCAGCCATCTATTGATCAAAAAAATCCTGGCAGAAAGCTTGACAATTTATATATGCAGATTGCATACCAGATTGATAAGCAGAGTGGAGCTGTTGATATTGTTCTTCATGCCATTTTTACTGTTGGTCAAACATTCCCTTCTGGTTTTCAAGATATTTGTCCTGTTGTTTTCTTAATTCTTCCGCCATGTGTGCCTTCAAATCATCATACACAACAGATACATATTGTTTATGTGTAGTGAACATTTCTTCCATCTGTTCTTTTATGGCATAATTATAGTTAGGCTCCACTCCAACTGAAGGGTATGTTTTGAAAGTACCAACATCATCAGCATTAATTGTTTGTTTGTTATGAAGAATTTGTGGTACAATGTTGCCAACCTCCGCATCGGCTATGCCATCTAATATTGCGTGTTTATTGTCCAATAGTAACGATAGAATTGTGTACCAGAATGTCTGCAATTCTTCTTTTATTGGTTGCAATACTGCAAGCACTCGAATCTATAAACGTAATAACATATTAGAATTCTATACTATAGTATAATACAATAATTAGATGCATAAATATTCGTATAATTACCATACCTCGTGTGTAGACAAATATTGTTTTACAATTTTGTCTGTCAATATTTGCCTCGGCTTCCATTTGTGCATTCTTGGAATTTGTAATGTCTTGTATCTCCTTCATCCAAATTTCTTTCCAATCTTGGGAAATGTTTCATATATCCAAAACTACAAAATGAAATTAAAGGTAAATATTAAATATATACAACATTAAACTAAACAAAAGGTAAAAATTTAGTAAAAATCAAATACCTGAAAAGCAAGAGGATATCCACGTAACGAATATTTACACTTCATTTGTTGAGTTTGTTGCATTCTTAGTATTCTTTCAAAGCATAATTGTTGCAATGAGTTCAACAAAAAAAATATGCCTTTCGGCCCCATGGATACAAAAAAAATCGTCAAGCTGCTCAACCATACCCAACATTCTATAATCAATATGTCTTTCAGTAGGTTTGAGAACACTCTCTATCAACATAACCAATCCAAGTTTGAATTTATCTTCTCGATTTTCACATGAATTGAAGGCATCATGGAGCATTCTCATAGAAATCATTTTCACACCATTAAAATACTGATTTCTAAGTCGATGATTACTAGAGTCAAGATGAACAGACATGTGGTGACAAGGTAGTCTAGTGATTAAGCAGAATTCTTACATTCCAAAACGGGCAAGATAGTCATCAAATCTTACCCACACTTCGTTGTTTTTACCGGAATTGACAATCCTCATTACAAATTCATATATTAACTTGCTACTAAATTGTTGCTCTTCGTCTCTATATATAAATCCATATAGAAATCCATGAAAATTACTGCACATTGATAATGCTTGTTCGTCTGCTTGTAACAATTCTATCAAATCTCTAACATATTGATGATTTGGATATTGACAAACAGTAACACAGAACCATTGGTCTTGAGACAACACATAATCTAGAGACATCTGCATGAAATCACAAAACTTATTGATGCAGGAGGATCCGAGTCAAGTGATGCTGATTTGTCAGATTGCACGATGATGGCGCTGAGATACCATGAGATGGCGGATCGGCGCAAAGATGGAAAGTAAATCACCATTATTTCCTTAATTGGGAGATTTTGATGCGTCTTTGATAATTTGGCCATAACTTTGGCTACGGTTATCGGAATCGCTATTATGACCCCAATTCGGAAAGCTCTCTTCGGCGCGCACGTCGTGGCCACCCAAATTCGCTTGGTGGACGTCAATTTCAAGCCCAAAATCCACTGTTTCCTTTCCAAAATTTGATTTTAATAGAGAACTCGAAATAAGCCAAATTTTTGGCAACTTACTTCTTTTACTTAATATTTTATTTTGGTATAATTTTGGGATTTTGCCATTTTTGGTAATTTTCCAATAATTTCGATTTCGCAGCTATTTAACCCGGCTTGTGGGTTAGTTTTCAGCATTCTGCATTATTAATAATATTGAGTTGAATTCAGAGTGTTTTCTCTATTTTTTTGGGCGTTTTCTATCGTTCTTTTCTTGCGAATCATCTGCTACAACCAGCCAATAGGATAATCACTATCCTACCCGACGTCAGTTGGTATCAGAGCGTCAGCATCTTCTTGGGAGATAAATTCCATCAGTTACAATGGTTGGTGGACGTGGTCGTGGTCGTCGAGGACAGGTTCCGATTGAGGAAGTCCAACACCGTGACCGTAATGTTCAGGATGTGACGATTGAAGATTTGCAGAGACAAGTTGCGGAGTTAACCCAACGTTTGGCGGAACAGGAGTTCGGTAATCATGATGTGGAAGGTCACGATTCCGATACCAGTTTCGAAAACCCGTATCA